TCTCCTCTTCCTCTTCCTCCTCTTTCTCATCCATCTCCTCCTTCTCCCTCTTCCTTTCTTCTCCTTTCCTTTCTTCTCTGCCTTTTTCTCCTCTTCACTCTTTCTTCTCCCTCTTATCTCTTCCTTCTCCTCCGCTACCCTTTTTTCTCCTCCTTCTCCAACTCTTCCTTCCTCCTCTACCTCTTCTTCTTTTTCCTCCCCTTCCCCTCTCCTTCTTCTCAATCAGAATAGAAGGAACCTTGGAGGTCTTCTAGTCCACCCCCCCGCTCAAGCAGGAGACCCCATCCCCTTTCAGAAGACCCTATCCCGTTTCTCCCTCTCTTCTTTTTCTCTTCCTTCCCCTTCTCCGTTTTTCTCTTCTCCTCCTCCTCCTTCTCTCTCTCTGCTTCTTCTCCTTCCACTTCTTCTTTCCCCACTTCCTATCCTCCTTTTTTCTGCTCCTCCTTTTCCTTCTTCTCCTCCTCCTCCTCGTCTTCCTTCCCTTTCTTTCTCCAGCTGCTAGCCAGAGCAGAACTCCATAGAATCGCCAGTTTTTATGTGGCGTTTCCCATCCTCACACAAACCTACTTTTCTTCTGAGTTATCATGAGAGCAGAGGAAAAACAGCTGTTTTAAAGAAATAGGGGCAGGTTTTTTTAGGGGGGTGGGTGGAAATCAGCCTGTGGTGCTTTTGCAGAAGTTTATTTATTTATTATTTATTATTTAAATTTATATACCGCCCTATCTCCCTTACGGGACTCAGGGCGGTGAAGAGGCAATAATAAAAATCACAATAAATATTGAATAAAAAGCCTGCTCTAAAAGCAAAGAGAGTACGACAGATAAACCCAAATCAAGTCGGTTTCCAAAAACTCTTAACGTGATCGATTCTCGGAGCTGACGTCAGATGCCAGAAGTTAGGTTATGGGATCCGGTACCTCGGAAAGGATGCTAAAAATTACGTTTATTCACAGGTTTAAAGCCCACCGAGATGGATTAAAGGGGCCTTGCTCCCGATTCAGCAGATTTCAGCTTTTTCCCCATAGAGGGAAAAAAAATAAAATAATGGGAGAGTCTTGGAGGAACTACAAACATAAATGCGTAATAGATGGCTGGGTTTTTAAAGTCAGGTTTTTATTGCCCCCTGGTGAGAGCTACCGGCCTCACATTAAAAAAAAAATAAAGAAATGGGGAGGAAAAATCCTGGATCCTGGAAAGGGGGAAAAAAACCTGCAAGAAATAAACCTCTTCCTTGCAAGCAATTTTGGCTGGTTCGCTTCTTGTCTTCCTTGGCATGCTTCCGTTCTGCTCAATCAGAAACTCCTCTCTTTCTATAAATACACATTTGTCAGATCCCTTCTTGATTTTTTTTCAGGATTCCTATAAAGCCACTGATTCACTGTTTGGCAACAGCAATCCTTTGGGTCCCATTCAGCCCGGTCCTTGGCCTGGCCCGGCTTCCATTTTTCGTCTCCGCCAGTGAAGAGAGATTGATTCTGGTTTAAGGGGGGGGTCAAAGAAAGGGGTGGTCTTCTCAAAGGCCACCAAGGTGCTGATTTTTTCTTATTCTTTCTCTCTTGTTCCGAATCTTTACAGCCCAAGGATCTTTCTCATCCTGCCTTCTTATTAAAGATCGTCCTGGATTTATAAGCATTCATTTAGGGACCGTTCCAAGTTACAACAACACCGATAGGTTTATTGTTACAGGAAAAACAAAAAACAAAAGAACGGCTGCGGGACTTGGGTTTGGCTAGTCTGAAGAAAAGAAGAAACAGGGGCGACATGATAGCAGCGTTCCAGTATTTGAGGGGCTGCCACAAAGAAAAGGGGGTCAAATTATTCTCCAAAGCACCAGAGGGAAGGACAAGAAGCAACGGATGGAAACTAATCAAGGAGAGAAGCAACCTGGAATTAAGGAGAAACTTCCTAACAGTGAGGACAATGAACCAGTGGAACAGCTTGCCACCAGAAATTGTGGGTGCTCCATCCCTGGAGATTTGTAAGAAGAGGCTAGACAGTCACTTGTCTGAGATGGTATAGGTTCTCCTGCTTGAGCGGGGGGCTGGACTAGAAGACCTCCAAGGTCCCTTCCAGCTCTATTCTATTCAAATGGGGGAAGGTCATACCCCTCCCTCCCCACATTGCACCACAGAGCAATGCACAAAGCCTGGGAATTTGCAACTGTCCATCTTCCCGAGTGGGCGCCCGCCGCAGAGCAGCTGATTGATATCTGCGGAACCAATTCTGCAGCATACTCTTTCCATCCAACCTGGCAATCTTGAAACGGGCCCTTTCCGATTATCTGGATTTAGCAGGGAGCCCCGTTTTTCCCGAACTGACTCTTTTTTTTTTTTTTTTTTGGATTGATGATTTTTCTGTGGTTTTTTTTTTTTTAATCTGCTGGTTTTTTGTTGGTTTTTTTTTTACACTGGACGGTTTTAACGGTTTTTTTCAATGTTTTTGCATCGCGAGCCAACCCGGGGTCGTTGGGATACCTGCCGGGTGGCGGGGAAAAAAATGCATAAATAAATAAATAAAAGCTCTACAGGGGCATGCCCGAAGCTGGAATCCTACGCCGAAATCCTATTCCAGTGATGGCGAACCTTTTAGAGACCGAGTGCCCAAAAACCACCCCGCCCTGCCCATCCCGTGCCCCGCCTGCCCGCAGGGCCACCCACCACTTCCACAGCCCACCGCAGCAGATCGCCCAGGCGGCCCAGCAGCGCCACGGCGGCCACACCCTCCGCCCACGCCCTGCAGCATCATCTGCGCATGACGGAGCGCGAGGGCGGAGTCTTGTCCCCGCTACCCGGCTGCCATGTCCTTGGCAGTGCTGCTCTGCGCGGGCGGCGCCCAGGGGCAATTCTTCTCTGGGGGGGCTGCTGGTGAGGAGGCGGCCATGGGGGGATGCAGGGCTGGGGCGACGGCACACGTGCCCACAGAGAGGGCTCTGAGTGCCACCCCTGGCACGCGTGCCATAGGTTCGCCACCGCTGTCCTATACGGTGTGCACCAGGTTGGAGAAAGGAGATTTATTTTGGATTCGCTCAACTGTAAGATTTGGATTTGACACAGAAAATCATTTTTTTTTTAAAAAAGAGGGAGCCTTGGAAGCGAGGAAGGACACCGCTCAGTTTACATTTTTGTTCAGTGAGACAGGAACTGGAGACGGCTTTTATTTTATTTCCCCATCCCACCCCCTTCCAAAAACACACACAACTTGTTTATTTTTCTTTTCCTGGGGGGGGGGAAGAGAAAACATGGAGAGTCAACAAGGACCGGACAACACACACGAAAAATTGACGGTCTGGTTTCCATCAGCATGACATTCTTTATATAGAAAGAAACGGTTACCATACTATTAAACCTTCCTTGTTTTTTTTAACTTTTTCCTTTTCAGCTCCAAATTTACAGATGCAAGGTCTAGCTTTCTACAGAACACAACGAGAAACAGCCACAAGAACGACAACGACGACAACAAAACCTAAGACAAAATGAAAGTGGCAACGACGCCAATATACCTCGGTCTGGTTTTTTTTTTTTTTCCTTCTTTATCCTAAACTAAAGCCCATGCTGAAAGGGGGGTTCTCCTATTGATAGAAAAGCTACGCCAAATAACTTTCTTCCATCAGGTCTTGTCGCGGCCTGGGACTTCTGGCAAAGAAGTCGGGCTCGCAAATACGTTCCCCAAAAATGCACACATTTTTTTTTTAATTTTCTAGGCTCTGTTCTTAAGACCAAATGCACTTGGCACACACGTATGGGTATATATATATATATATATTTATATATGTATATATATTAGCTAAAAACTACTCTTCAATTGTACACCCTGCCGCCCCCCCGCCCCCCCGCCCCCTGTATAAGTTGCTAACGAAACTGTGGATTCCAAAGAAAAATCTGGAGAAATATTTAATGCGCTTTTAAATTAAATCGGCGTTGATGCTGCTGTACCAATTAACCAGTACGTGCCCGGTGTTTGTTTGTTCTTTTCTCTGCAAAAGGGACGTTGCCCAAACAGAGGTGAGGGCTGTTAAGAGACACTCTAGCACCTCTGAGGATTTTTTAAATAGTTTTTACTCATATATATATATATATATAATTACAACTTCTTTAAAAAATAAAAGAGCACCAATTATTTTCACAGTGAGAGGTAGAATCAAATTGAAAAGGTCTGGCCCTCTCTCTCTCTCTTTCTCTCTCTTGTTTTCTTTCTCTCGTTTTCTCTTTCTTTTCTTCAATTTAGCACCAAAGTTTCTTCACCCCTTTCCACTTTTGGGGGTGGGGGGAAGAGATATCTCTCTCGCCATCCCCCCCCCCATATCGAAGGGATGTTTTCATTTCCAAAAGGAACAAGAATCTTGCTGGCTTTTATTTAGATTTGTTTTTCCTTGCCTTAAATAATATATATATATATATCTATAATTTTTTCTCTCTCTCTTCTTTCTCCTCTCTCTGTTTAATATTGCACATCAAAATCCTTCCTGTTCCAGAACAGTGAGCAGATAAAAATTAATCTTATAATAATATGATGGCAACGTTTTGTTTTTCCAAGTCCCTTCCTTGTCTTGTCCAGCAAAACCTCTGCTTTGATAAACGACCTGGATTCCGGAATGCTGTGCTTGGCTCACCCAAAAACTGCACGAAAAATTTGGGTTTTCTGCAAGCAACTGGTTTGTTTTTTTTCCCCTCCCACCTTCGGCTGAAGAAGAGGAAGGGACGAGTCCATCTGTAGGTGGAGAAGGTCAACTTCCAACTGGCCATCTCTGAAGTTGCTTCAGGCCCAACCGTGGTCCCCCAACCCCAACCCCGGGATTCTTCTGAACCATTTCTCCCAGGGCCAAGATGGAGAGGCTGAACGGATCCGCAAAGGCTTCTCGTTTGACGTGGTCCCAGTGCTGAAGCCCCCACAGGTCTTGGGGGGGCTGACAGAGGTCCAGGTGGCCGAGTCTCCTGGCCGAAGACGCAGCCTCTCTTCTGAGAAGCCGAAGTGTGTGTGTGGAGCACCACAAAAAGTTGATTTCTAGAGGAAACACACTGGCCCAACTTCAAGGAAATATTCCTTCCCTGGACTGCTTGGCGGAAGGTTATACACACCCACAATCGGAAGCCGCTGGATGTCGTACGTCCGGAAGGTAAAGAGGGTGTGATGCCACTGACCATCTTGAATCTGATTGAAGAGGAAACTTGGATGGTTACACCGTTGACTCACGTGGGGATGGAGGTAGGAAGACCCAACCGCCCCAAAGGAGGAAAAAATGGGAAGTTCATCGCAAAACCCTTCCCTCGTCCTTCCCCCCTCCCCATCGAACTTTCCCATCTGCCTCAAATGGATCATCAAACAAGACAAGCCAACTCTTCCCTCAAGCCACCAATGATCAGGCTCAAATTATCCGACTTTGGACACATTATGCCAAGACCCAATTCCCTGGAGAAGGATCTGATGATGGGGAAGGCTCATTTATCTGATTTTGGACACATTATGCCAAGGCCCAATTCCCTGGAGAAGGATCTGATGATGGGAACTGTAGAAGGAAAGGGAAGAAGAGGGTGAGGAGCAGGAAAGGTGAAGGAACTCAATAATGGTGGTCATGGAGGCAAGCAATGGAAGATCTGAAAGACCAGGTTAGGGACAGATTGTCCTTGGAAAAAAACTCTCTTTTCAAACTTTCCTTCTGGGTCTAATGGAAAAAAAAAGACATGGAAACAAAAAACGGGAACTCTGATTTTATATACGGCACCAAGATTGCTCTGCGTGCAAAAATGTAAAGGATGCTTCGATTCNCTTCGATTCCCACCATAGAGGAATGGCTTCAAAAGTTGATGGAATTGACAGAGATGGCTAAATTGACCGTTTTGATAAAAAAAAGAAGAATATAAGTGCCTTTGTTTCTACTTGGAAACCTCTTCTGGACTTTGTGCTTGAGGTGGGAAAAAAATGACACTACGATTTCGGGTTTTACTGATTAGATTGCTTTGTTGATATAGAACTGGCTAGTACGCACTACTCTGGAAATGAAAACAGTTGAGGTTTGATGTTAATGCCTTATTTTACTGCAACAGTCGGAAGTCAATGCCTTTTTTTTTCTCCCCCCCCTTTCACACTTCTCTTTCCCCCCTTCCCCTAACATTTGTGACCTATTTGCTTTTGTATCTTCGTATTTTGTGTTATAAGTGAATAAAAATCATTTTTAAAAAACCCTGTTTCTCTGGTTGCTAGGAGTCAAAAACAATGGCACATAATCTGTCCATCCATCCATCCATCCATCTGAAGTTCCATCGTGGACATCCATGTGAAGGCTAAGATGGTGGCTACAATAATCCAAGGTCTTCCCCGAGTTCCACTACATTTCTTGGCAGCCTAAACGGCCTTAAAGTGGACTTCACGGTCCACAAAAACCACAGATACAGTATTTCACACACTCTTCTCTCCTCTCTCCATCTCTCTACTCGTTTTTCTCCTTGTAGCCTTCCTGCCAGGTTAACGATACCGAAAGGAGGGGATATGCGTGGCCACCATCCAGAAGGCTTTGAAGAAAGAGGGTGCAAGGATCAAACTCTTTAGCCATTGGACCTCAAGATCTCTTTTGTGAAGCTGCCCTTTTTAAAATCCAGGATGGAAGGTCTTGTGGTTGAAATGACTGCGACTGCAATTCTTGCGACTGAAATCTCCCGATTGAAACTATTTTCCAAAGCACCAGAAGGCAGAGCAAGAAGCCACGGATGGAAACTCATCGAAGAGAGGAGAACGAAGGAGAAACTTCCTAGCAGTGAGGACAGTTAACCAGTGGAACGACTTGCCTCCAGAAGTTGTGGGTGCTCCATCGCTGGAGGGTTTGAAGAAGAGACTAGATAGCCAATGGTATAAGTTTTCCTGCTTGAACAGGGGGTTGGACTAGAAGACCTCCAAGTCCCCACTCTGTTATTCTACGATTCTTCCCAGAAAATAGCACACACACACACACACACACACACTTATATATTGAGACTCATTCAGCAATAGCAGTCGCTATCTCTACATTATGTAGTGATATCCCTGCACCAGGGCAAAGAAGATAGTATCTAATAAGACACAGTGTCCTGTTAATGACTGTGGTGGATAGGATGGGCATAAAAACAGGAGAAAAATGCTAAATAAGTGTTTCTCCAGAGCTGCTGTTCTCATGCTCCACGTCCCCAGGATGCGTAATGTACAACAACGAAAGCAGCAACAGCCACAACAACAGATGCAAAGAGCGGTCTCTTGCATCATATCCAGTTTCATTTTTAGAGCTGAGCAAGCGTTCAATTCATCCAAACTGCCAGCAGGGGGCGCTTTTGCTTTTATCAAAAAGTCTCTCCTCCCACCGCTGGGTAGCACAGATAGACAACCTGAAGCCTTGTAGATGTTTTCACCTCGCAGCTCTCACAATTTTGGGGCAAGGAGCCATGCTGACTTGGGTTAAGCAGGAGTTGAAGTGGAGCTGTCTACCTCTGCTCTGGGTAATAAAACAACTCAGAGATGAAAACACCTTCAACATGTCAACGGATGTAGTTTGGGGAAGGAGACCTGTCAAGGGTAGATACTTCTAGATCTTGATTATGAAATCACCATCCTTCTGATGGTCTTCTCCAGGTGGTGGTAGCACCCAACCCTTCCAACTCTGTTTTTTTTCCCTGGAGAATTTCCATACCTGACAATTGTTTACCACCACGTCCGGTGTGAGCTGCCCTCCCTGTTCGAAGAGCTGCCCGTTCCAGGCCTTGAAGCGTAGGGAGGCTCCTTCTGATGGTCCTTCCGGCCAAACCGGCATGTTCAAGCAATGGATAGTGATGTTCTGAACGACTTCAGAGCTCAAGAGGTGAAGGAAGTTCATTTGTACTCTTCCGATATCGAAGTCCAGCTGGAGAAGGGGGAAATTCAAGTTAAGGATAAAGACGGAATTCAACGTTCTGGCCAGGAGGAACATCTTGAGAACTTTGTGCATACAACTACTTATAAACATTCCAGAGACCTTCAACTACACCTAAGCAGCCATGTACAGGAGATATACAAAACTATAAAGGGGGGGGGGGAGATCTAATATACTTGGCTATCCACTGGTCAGTTAAGCATAGATTTGCACTAAGAAACATCCTTTCCATGGACACAGTAGCTTCCTGCAGGGGGCCAAATTATTCTCCAAAGCACCAGAGGGCAGGACAAGAAACAATGGTTGGAAATTAATCAAAGAGTGAAGCAACCTGGAATTAAGGAGAAACTTCCTGACAGTGAGGACAATTAACCAGTGGAACAGCTTGCCACCAGAAGTTGTGGGTGCTCCATCCCTGGAAGTTTTTAAGAAGAGGCTGGACAGTCCCTTGTCTGAGATGGCATAGGTTCTCCTGCTTAAGCAGGGGGCTGGACTAGAAGACCTCCAAGATCCCTTCCAGCTCTATTCTATTCTGTTCTGTTCTGTTCTATTCTATTTTATTCTTATTCTACTCTATTCTACTCTATTCTACTCTATTCTACTCTACTCTACTCTACTCCTACTCTACTACTCTACTCTGTTCTGTTCTATTCTATTCTGTTCTATTCATTTTGGATTTCTATTCTATTCTATTCTATTCTATTCTATTCTATTCTTATTCTACTTTATTCTACTCTACTCTACTCTACTCTACTACTCTACTCTTCTACTCTACTCTGTTCTGTTCTATTCTATTCTGTTCTGTTCTATTCATTTTGGATTCCTATTCTATTCTATTCTATTCTATTCATTTTGGATTCTATTCTATTCTATTCTATTCTATTCTATTCTATTCTATTCTATTCTATTCTCTATTTTTATGAATGAGTCCGACAGCTTTAACTACAAGACCCATTCACAAAACGGAGGCATTACTACTTCTTGGAACAAGAGATGACATGCCTGATATTCTGGCCAATAACGAGGCCCAGGATAATCTCAAATTCTCAATCCCAATTCTATTTAGACAGGGGGGGGAAAAGAAGAAGAGATTTCTGAGCTTATTCACAAATTGTTTTGCTCCAGGCTATATATTGCAATTGCCTGAGTTACTCCTGAAAAGAATGCCTCGTTTTCAATTGAGCCAAAATACCAATTTGGTCTTTTTTTTAAAAAAAAAAAATGTCACTGGCTAGTTATTCCTTTCCAGGCTCAGCTTAAGACAGAGCTTCTTGTTTTGAAAAGCTTAAACAGTTGGAATGTGGTACTTATGATGAGGATAAGCAACGTGTCAGCAACACGGGCACGGAAGCACGTGCCAGGCTCCCCATCCGCCTGTTTTTAATTTTTTGCAAAGCTTTTTATGGAATTGGTGGGGGGGGGGGAGGGAAACTGTGCAGCAAAGCTCTGGATACTTTATCTGCCTTTCCAAGAATATCTCTGTGCCCTACATAGAACCACAGGCATCCTCCAAAAATAAAAAATGTCCTTCTTTTGAGAGTGTTCAGTGGGCTACACATGAAATGTCCCATTCCAGTGGATTTCCTAGAAACAGCGTGTGCCTTTAATGTACCTTAGATGCTGTGATAGGATTGAGGCAGGTTTGACCTCCTTGGGCGAAGTTGCAGGTGACCTGAATGCTGTCTGAAGAACAGCCAAGATTTGGGTCAATCCAGTAGACGCCTGAAGGAAGAAGACGAGAGAGAAGCAACAGGTGAGGCCAGATCCAGTTATACTGGCATCTTTTGAGAAGGCCACTGATTTTATCAAAGTTCTGGAGAAGAACAGTGTGGGTGCTACCAATGTTCAGACCTTCAAGATTAGACCTCTTTTGTTCCAGCTCTGAGTAGTAGATAGGAGTCTCCTTTAATCTTTTGTAGTAGATCATCATCATTGTGGGTGCTCCATCACTGGAGGCTTTTACGAAGAGACTGGACTGCCACTTGTCTGGCATGGTCTAGGGCAGGGGTCTTCAAACTTGGCCCTTTGATGACTTGTGGACTTCAACTCCCAGAATTCCTCAGCCAGTGTGCCTGGCTGAGGAATTCTGGGAGTTGAAGTCCACAAGTCATCAAAGCGCCATGTTTGAAGACCCCTGGTCTAGGGTCTCCTGCTTGAGCAGGGACTTGGAGTAGAAGACCTCCAAGGTCCCCTCCAACTCTGTTATTCTGTACAGAGGAGGTACAATAATCTACAACTTCAACTCCAGAATGATTCTGCCTGTCCTGTCAGATCATCTAGAGAAGATGGCTCATCCCATGTGAACAAGAAGGTGGCAAGACCAGGACACCACAGAAAAGCCTGATCAAGGAAATCTTATGGTTCTGCTGCTCTTATCTTTCAGGAGCATAGTCAACATTTTTTTGAGAGGGGCCTTCGATTCCATTTACCTCACAAAGAAGGGACAAATGGCCATCTTACACAACTCTTTTGTTGTCCTTTTCTCTATTGTTTTGTTCTTTGGGGTTTCAAATCATCAGGAGATGATGTTCCCGAGAGTTGTTACATTTGGGCAGAAAGTTCACGGAGGGGTGAAATCTAGACCTTATGGCTTTGTTCAACTTTGCCCCAAATTGGTACAAATCTAGATACCCCATGAAATCCATCCATCCATCTCCTCCTCCTCCTCTAAGACATTATGATTGATGTAGACCTTGGAGAACATGGATTTGTCTGCTGCCCATCCTGCAGCAGAAGGCTTACCATCCTGCATCTTTTGTTCACAGTTCATGAGGTCTTTACAAACACGGGTAGGGTTTTCTTTTGTCCCCAAGGGTCTCTTGATGCTCTGAATGAGGACACTGAGGTAGTGCAAGGTCTTAAAGATCTCCCCTCCTTGATCCATCACTGGAAGGTCCATCTGTTCGTAGCTCTGCCAGGAAAGGGAAAGGACATTAATGGATTCCGCACAGCAGCCCATCCTTTTCCCCCCATAAAAAGCATTTCAGAAAGTCTTCCTTAAAGAGAAGCTCCCATGGCTTACCTCAGACCTGAAGACAGCACTGGCAGTCAACATGGAGTGGAAAGCTGCATCAAAGTCATCTTGCCCCTGGATTAGTGGAGAAAAGAAAAAGATATGGTAGACTTGAAGGAGGAAGTCCCTGCAGATGGGATACTTGCTCTGTCTGGATTAACGATGGAATCTCCAGGGCGGAGATGGTGAGGCTTAAATGAAATGAGAACCGCATGGACGCCTGTAACCCAATCTCCCAAAGGTTTTGTGGTTTTATTTTGGTTTTGAGGCGTCCTTGGTGCTCTCTGAGCTTGTTTGTTTTCTTGCAGACGTTTCTTGACCTTAACTAGATAGCATCATCAGGGCTAGTAAGAGCACTCCTTATTAGCACTGATGATGTTACCTAGTTTGGGTCATGAAACATCTGCAAGAAAACAAGCAAGTTCAGAGAGCACCAAGGACCCCATAGTCTTAGTTCTTCTCCTCCTCCTCCTCCTCCTCCTCCTCCTCCTCCCCCTCCTCCNTCTACTCTACTCTACTCTACTCTACTCTACTCTACTCTACTCTATTATTCTATTCCATTCCATTCTATTCCATTTTCTAATTCTATTCTATTCTATTCTATTCTACTCTACTCTACTCTACTCTACTCTACTCTACTCTACTCTACTCTACTCTACTCTACTCTACTCTATTATTCTATTCCATTCCATTCTATTCCATTTTCTAATTCTATTCCATTTTCTAATTCTATTCTATTCTATTCTGTTCCATTCCATTCCATTCCATTCCATTCCATTCCATTCTATTCTATTCTATTCTATTCTATTCTACCTTGAGAGAAATTTGCTAACGTTAAGAAGAGGAACGAAAGATCAGGAGAGACACTTACAGTGTTTCCTGGTTGACCTGAAATCCCAACTGGACCAATGACACCTTCTTGGCCCTACAAAAACAAACCATCAATCAAGGTTGCACATGTATTCGATGGATAGTACATACCACCAAGAAGATCTTCCACGTCTCTTTCCCAGTTTGATCTCCAGCCCTCTTTTCCTGGGGGTGTCCACCCAGCTACTAGCCAGCTCCAATCCTCCTTAGCTTTTGACTCCAGATGAGGCTGGGAGCACCACCTTGTTTTTGGATCCATAGCACCAGATGTGTATCAAAGAGCTTTCTCATGTCCAGAAGTTCATCTAAGGCATTTGGACTTTCAGCTGACTCAACAAGGCCTACCAGACCCAGAATAGGAGCTGCTTGTTGCTCCAGGTATTTCACCTTTTCCGAGTAGAGGAAGTATTTATCAGGGAAGGAAGGTGGAGGAGAAGACCACTCACCTTCTACCAACCCATCCCTTGGGATAAACCTACTACTTCCTCAACAGAGTACCTACTTTTCTGCTGATTCTTTAGACTGATTCCATCAAATAAGACTGACTGGTTGAGGAATTTGGTGATGTGGTGACCTGGTAGGATATGGCTAAACGTTTTAGCCCCCCGAGAAAAAAGCTGTCTCCATCATCATTACCACCAAACAGGTCAAAATCTGGTCCTTTTTGCTGCCCAATTTCAGCAGCTCAGTCATGGGGTGTGCAGAAGACACGGACGTAGAGCTGAATGCAGCTCACCATCTTTTAACTGAGCTGAAAGTCAAGGCAAGAACGGTGAAGTCAACTCACCCAGATTCCTTGGGGCCCTTTAGGGCCCTGGATGCCTTTGAAGCCAAGATCTCCAGGTGGTCCCTATTGAGAAAAAGAAGTATTGGGTGAAAATATACCAGGTCGGAGCACCATCCACCCACTGGGCATCATCTCCTCCAGCTAAAACCTTCCGCTTTTGAAAAGTAGAACCATTTCAAATCATATTTTAAAAGATCCCGAAGTGGGACGATGCCCTACATCCAAGTTGCAACAACCTCTGCTCTTGTTTTCCTCTCTTTCCCTTCCTTCTGAATTGTGCCCCTGTCCCCAAACAGAAATTGAAGCTGTACCCAAAATGGGTGGCAGCAAACAAACTGAGCCCATTTCTAGTATCTGTATCCTGAACACTTTTCACAGAGGCACGATGAAGAACGTCTTAACAAACGGCACCACTGTCTGGTTTGGGTGGTAGCAGAGCCTCAGATAGAAGGTCCATATAGAGAGTGGTAAGGACCTTGCATTCCAATTATTTCATTCTTCTATTCTATTCTATTCTATTCTATTCTATTCTATTCTATTCTATTCTATTCTATTCTATTCTATTCTATTCTATTCTATTCTATTCTATTCCTTTCCTTTCCATTCCATTCCATTCCATTCCATTCCAATTATTTCATTCTCTGTTCTATTCTATTCTATTCTATTCTATTCTATTCTATTCTATTCTATTCTATTCTATTCTATAATTCTATTCTATTCTATTCTATTCTATTCTATATTCTATTCTATTCTATTCTATTCCATTCCATTCCATTCCATTCCATTCCATTCCAATTATTTCATTCTCTGTTCTATTCTATTCTATTCTATTCTATT